TGGGACCAAAAGTAATTTTTATGTTTATCTGAAGTTTTCAAAATTTCTATATTAATATATATTACTTGGGAGCTCTGGTGGCGTAGTGCCTAAGGCTTGTGACTGCTAACCAGAAGGCTGGCGGTTCAAACTCACCAGCCACTCCTCAGAAGGAAGGTTGGGCAATCTACTTCCATAGTAATACTGCCTCAGAAACCCAAGAAAGGGTCACTATGAGTGGAAATCGACTCTATGGCAGTGAGTTTGGTTTGGTTATCAGCACAAAAACAATAAATGTCATTATATTCAAGAAGATCCAGAAAGTATCATATTTGTTGTTGTTATGTGCTATAGAGTCGGACCTGACTCATAGTGACCCTTCCTTGGGTTTCCGAGGCAGTATCACTACGGAAGTAGATTGCCCAAACTTTCATCCAAGAAGTGGCTGGTGGATTTGAACCGCCAGCCTTCTGGTTAGCAGTCAAGTGCCTTAGGCATTGCGCTACCAGACCTCCCAAAGTATCATATAATACAGTCTTTAAAAAAAAATATATTATTGTGATTTCGGTTCATATAATACAGTCTTGATGATTAGTCACTTGCAGAATGTATTTTTTAATGATACAACTTTCCTTCTGGGACTCTGGATATGGTCTAATCCCATTTCTTGCTTTACAGACATGCCCAGAGATGCAAAGTAACTGGACTTAGGTCACACAGCAAGTTCCCTGCTGCATAGGACTAGATCACACTTCTCACTCTGATTCTAGACTCTCCTCACCACATCACTACTGTAAGGAGATGGTCATTGGTATGCTATGTTTCCTTAAATTGCTCTGTACTTTTGGTGGGCATATGGAGAGATGGAGAGGGTAGGGAATAAATGCAGAGAGACCCTTCCAAAGGGATGACTTAACCTCTGCTCTAAAGATGGGACAGTCAGATGTAGCTTATTCATTGAAACAATTTGAAAGAACAATAAGGTTACCTCATTCCAGACAGGGTTGAGCTCATTATCAACTTTCTTTGTTTTCTTTTTCTCATCTGGAAATGAAAAACAAAATATATACATCAATTAAAAATATCTGTAGACATAAATATTGATTTGGGTGAAGATAAGGGCAATGTACCAAATGTGAGTGACCAATATGGCAGCATTGAGGATGAGAAAGACATAGAGAGTTACAT